CCTTGAAGGAAACCTGAATAAAAAATTTCAGATAAATTATTGATAATGCCAATCTGGCGCTCAAGTTGCTCGCGAATCTAGAGAAATGCTTGCTCTATCGGTTGCAGGAAACGCTCTATTCAAAGCAAAATCAGAGCGGAAGTTACGGGGTTTTCAAAGCCGAGACTGACCAACCTGCACAACCTGACCAAATAAATTAGGGCGAAAACTTCTGGAGCTTATTTTTGCTCTCAAGATCCCAGACAAAATGGAGAAAACCTCGCGTTATTGAGCACTGCAAAAAGCAGTGCGATCGCTCTATTAGGTCGGGAGTTATCGAGGTTTCAAAACCGAGATGAACAAATCAAAGGAAACCTAAATAAAAAATTTTAGAAAAAATATTGCTGATGTCGATCTAGTGCTCAAATTGCCCATGAATCTAGAGAAATGCTTGCTCTATCGATTTCAAAAAACGCTCTATTCGTAACAAAATATCAGTGGGAGTTTCGGGGTTTTTAAATCTAAGACAGACAAACTTACACAACGTGACCAAATAAATTGGGGGGAAAAATAATGGAACTAACTTTTGCACTCAACTAACTAACTGCAGGTCGAGAGTTTTAGAGTTTTCAAAGCTGAGATGCACAAATCGACGTAATCTTGAAGAAAACCTGAATAAAAAATTCCCGAAAAATTATTGATAATGTCAATCTGGCGCTCAAGTTGCTCGCAAACCTAGAGAAATGCTTGCTCTATCGGTTGCAGGAAACGCTCTATTCATAGCAAAATTACCACAAACTAACCAAATAAATTAGGGAAAAAAATCTAGAGCAAATTTTTGCGCTCAAGATCCCGGACAAAATAGAGAAAACCACGCGTTATTGAACACTGCAAAAAGCAGTGCGATCGCTCAATCAGGTCGGGAGTTAAAGCGATTTCAAAACCGAGATGGACAAATCGACTTTGAATGGAACCCTGACCACAAAATTAAAAAAAATATTGCTGATATCGCTCAAGTTGCTTTCGAGTCCAGATAAAGGTTTGCTCTATCGATTGCAGCAAACGCTCTATTCAGAGCAAAATCACGTCGGAAGTTATCGCGTTTTCAAAGTCAGTGCAGCCCAAACCCGCACAACCTGGTCAAATAAGTTCGGAAAAAATATTTCTCGAACTAACCCTTGCGCTCAATCCCCTGGAAAATATAGGGCAAAGCTCGCTCTCTCGACCATTGAAAAACATAGTTTGATAGCTCAAAGAGGCTGGAAGCTATAGAGTTTTCAGAACCGAGATGGGCAAATCGACGAAATTTTGACAAAAACGTGACTAAATAAATTTAGAGAAACGCCTCGAAATTGCTCGTAAATATAGAGAAAAAATCAGTTTCCAGAACGGCTCCATTGGTGGCAAGACAGGCAAACATACACAACCATTGGGGGGACATTTTTCTGGAACGCATTCATGCGCTCAAGCAAAAAACCACACAAATCTAAAACTTCTTAAAGCCTTTTTTAAAAAAACTGCCAACATTTCCTCATCCATGGCTCACTTTCTTAAAAGGCCATTTATTTCTGTCTTGAATGATGTACACATGAGCGTTCTTGCTCATTTTGCCTCCGAGAAATGAGCAAAAATGGAACGGAAAACATGGAATTTTGGAATAATCTTGCACCTAAGTGTCTGATATTCAAATTTTGCTTTCTGGGCCAAAATTATTCAAATTTCCTCACTCACGTTGTTACGACTGAATCGGCTTTTCAATTCTCTATCCAACGATGCCAAAACGAATTCTGTGGCTCGAATGGTTCTTGAGAAACTTCGAAAAAAG